GGATTCTGAAATATGACGCTGGACAGACTGACGCACAGACAGACAGACACAGGAACTCATGGACGGTCGGGGACATGTATCCTAACATGTATGATCTATGTACTAAATTTGAATGAAAACTGACAAAGCATGTCCAAAATACTACATTTTCAAAAAACAAGATGGCTGCCAGTCAGCCATCTTTGATCCAATTGTGAAATAAATCATCATGGACATGTATCCTAACATGTATAATCTATGTACCAAGTTTGAATGAAAACTGACAAAGCATGTCCAAAATACAACATTTTCAAAAAACAAGATGGCTGCCAGTCGGCAGAATCGAATCGAATCGAATCGCTAAACCACTGCATGTGCATATAAACCACTGCATGTGCATGTGCATATGTGCACATAAAGTACTAGGCACATGCAAAGAATGAACGGAATCGGTCCAAGGGATTCTGAGATATGACTCCGGACGGACGCATAGACGCACAGATGCACGGACGCACAGACGCACAGACGCACGGACGGACAAAGACCGAATTATAAGTCCCCGTTTTCGGACTTCGTCCGAACGGGGACTAATATAATTGACAGGGTAATAACAAGTGTGACTCTAAGGACATAGGTGATGAAACACATTACATTTTTCACTGTAAACCTAACAGTTTTCAGAACACAGGGAAAAATTCCTCTATGCACTATTTATATATTCACCTGATTAGCATTTAGCTGATTTTGTATTTCAGATTTTAAAATTATTTTAGTTGTGTTACTTTATGTTTCTTATATTGAACTTTACTGAGACATTGTTTTTGTGTATGTTACAAATAAAATATCCTATCCTTGTAGATGTTTATAAATATAGATTCAAATTAGAATAATAGGTTGAGATATAATATTGGAATGCCTATTTGTACTGCACACTATGTGTGATTGCTCATTGGACATTGCTAAAGTCATTTGAATATTATATTAATAAGCACCAGTGATGTCAATATCAATGGTTTGGTTGAACTGTTTTTTACTGTAATTTTTTTAAATGTTATTTAAAAATTCATAAATTAACCATAAATCACAACCAAAGGTACCTAATCTAAATTGAGAGAACAAGTAATTCAAAACAAGTAGTTCAAAACAAGTAGTTCAAAACAAGTAATTCAAAACAAGTAATTCAAAACAAGTAGTTCAAAACAAGTAATTCAAAACAAGTAATTCAAAACAAATAATTCAAAACAAGTACATGTAATTCAAAACAAGTAATTCAAAACAACTATTCAAAACCACTATTCAAAACAAGTAATTCAAAACTAGTACCGGTAGTTCAAAACAAGTAATTCAAAACAAATAATTCAAAACATATAGTTCAAAACAACTATTCAAAACAAGTAATTCAACACAAATAAGTAAAAACATATAATTCAAAACAACTAATTCAAAACAAGTAATTCACAACTCTTTGAATGATAACATTGATCCCTGTTTGCTCATGAATAAATTTGTGCCTAGTATATAGGGTGTAAAAATGTAACAACAATCATCACAACTTTCAGAGGAACTTGTACATATTTAAAAAAGATTACAGAACAACTACAGTTTAAATCAATGTTATTGTGCAAAGCAATGAATTACATTTAAATAAAACTGCAGAGAAACATCATGTTTAAGAAGTCTTGAATAGCTCCCTCTCATGGTAACTTTATGTAAAAGTTGAACATTATTCTGTAAATTGTTATTGGTTGTGTTTACTTATAATTGTCTTTTACTTGTACAGGGACTTTATTTACTTCTCATTTGATGAACTTTATAACGTTTACTTCCCAGAAGAACCAGGCATAATGGCTGACTAAATTGTAAAAGTATGTTCCGCTGTTTACTGCAGCCACAGAAATTGGCATG